TTAAAATTTTTTAAAAATATTTTTTTGCACATTTTTTTAAGCTTAAACCGTTTTGTAATTTGAGGCGATTTTTTCAAAAAACATCTTTAAGAAGCTATTTTTATTCATAAAAAACTCCATTTTTGGAGGTCATCTTAAAATATAGTACATTTTATAATTCCAATGGAAAAACAGTACTGATTTTTTTTTGTATGGAGAGTGATGCAGTCTAATGTACATGCAAACATATTTTTAAATTTTTTTCTAGTACATTGGTACAAGCGCAATACTTATTTTGGAAGCTTGCTTTTAACTTCACTTTGCTGTTGGTTTGACATGAACCAAGTTATATTTAACACGCCTTGGCATGAACCATCGAGAAGATAGCCAACAGCCGCCAAATGCGAACGCATTTTGGACATTTTCGGACATTTTGTTTAAGTTTGAGTGGCAAAGAAATGATGAAACGTATGTATGTGTAAATTCTGAACATATTTTTTGGTTAAATATGTAGAATGTTCGAAAGAGATTTTTTCTACGCTTTCTTGGTTAATATCTGCGTTAGAAAGCTGGTTAGCCGACTGAAATCCTGTACAGCACGTACAACATATGGTTTGGGGTCGGAAAGCACTATGCCCTATAATAGACCTAAAAGGGAGCATTTTTTTAATTCCTTTGGTAAGAGGCTTCAGACATTCGATTTTTTTCGCTGCACTGTCGCTGGTCTCCTTGCGTGTGTACATTGTCGCTATATCTTGTTCATTGCTTCTACAAATAAGTTTAGTTCACTTGTAGCTGGGCAAAAATAACAATTTTCTTAGTTTCTATAGACCCATTACTCACTTCTTCAGAGATTTCAAAATAATAGCGATAATTTGGGACAAGCATGTATAAGTATCCAAATCAATAGGACATTTTTTCATTATAAAGAAACTCTCATTTAGTATGTACGATAAAAGCTGATGCTATCAGAAGCAGTGTTGGCTAAATGTTAATCTGATTAACGATTAAGAAGTAACGATTAAGATGTTAATCGCTATTAACGATTAAAATTAATAAATCGTAATGATCTATAACGATGAGCTGTGCATATAGACATAGTGCAGCGAATTAAAATTCAGCGGCTCCGCTGGCTTGGCCATGTCGTTCGAATGGACAGAAACGCTCCTGCTTTGAAAGTATTGAACGCGGGCCGCGATGCTGGTAATGGAGGAAGAGGAAGGCCTCCTGTGCGTTGGACAAACCAGGTGAAGAAGGCTTTGGCTTCACTTGGCACAGAAGAGAAATGACTGGCGTGCTGTTTAGGACTCGGCCAAAATCGCTTAGGCGGTTACAGCGCCAACAAAGAAGAAGAAGAAGAATCATCTGTATGATTAATGATAAAATTTATTTAATCGTTAATTGTCGGTTGTGATTACGATTATCAAATTTTAATCAATAATCGTTAATCCGATAAAAAAAAAAAATCTGATTAAGTGGTCTAGTGTGTCCGCATTTTAAATCAAACAACGTTTACGGTTATTCTTTTGTGTTTGACGCTTATAAACAACACATAATACTTATAATAAAAAATAATAATAATAATTTGTATTACATAAACTGAAAAGTTTTACAACCCATCGTACATGTGCAGAGAGATATTAAAACCTAGTTTGCATAACGTCTGTTGGTAATAGTTCACAATAAAAATGCACACCAAATTGCTTAGATTGATGAGGGAAACCGACTTAGCCATACCCGATTAACTGACCTTGTGTGCAAAAGAAAATTCCAGCATAAATTAATTAATCACCGAACCTACTTAATCAAATTAAGTGTTAATGATTAAAAGTTAATTTTTTTAATCACGGTCACGATTAACTGTTTAATCAGATTTAATTAAATCATAATGAACTGCAATCGGATTGAATTTAATCAAATTGACTAATTGATTAAAAAATCAATCGATTAGTGCCAACCCTGATCAGAAGAAAACAAATTTGTTAAGGTAATAATAACAAATTTAAATAAAAATGTACTTATGTATATGCAGAAGTCCTTGTCCATTTGACCTTAAAGTCCACATATTTAAACAGTGTTTAACAATTGTAAGTACCCGACTGCTTGAAGAAAATAGTGAAAAATATTTTTGGCTTTTGTCAGCGCCACCTACTATATTATTTTCCTAAATTATATTTCTTGTTGCTCTTGAGGTCCAAAAATTATATATAATACATAATTCTAAAATATCACTTGACACTATGATTTTTAATAGCATTGATGATTCGAGGAGCTTGATATCATCTAATTCGGTAGAAACATGAACCAATAACGAAAATCCAAAGCGTAGTTTGTTTTTGTTGTTTTAACAGCATAGAAATTATCCAGAGATTTTGGGGAATGCTGCGTCATAGAGTGACCCAAAGTCTCGAATGTCATTAGTAGAAGTAGCTGGTATTCACCTTTTTCCCAACTTCACACCATTTTTTAGACCTCAGCCAAAAGCTATGTATATGTATGTACATACATGCATATGCGCCTTATGCACTTGCGATTTTTCACATTTCATTTGCAAAAATTTACAAAAACGTGCCACAATCCGCGGTTCCATAATACTAATTAATATTTAGAGACTTGCCAATATTTAGTATATAAAACATTGTACTTGAACTACATACTTCCCCAAAGATAACGTCTTAGATATTTACTTATGATGTAGACATTTGAGTTGTAAGCGAGTATGAAATCGTCACCGCTTCAAGGCAGGAATCAGAACTGCCGAGAGAGACCAGGTGCACCCTAGCACAACTCCGTTTGGGGTGGTGTCACCGACTCAACAGTTACCTCTCCCGGTTGAATTCACAAGTGGTAAACACCTGCCCGCGCGTGGGCAAGGTTTCCCCGACACCCAGCATCTCTTCACATGCACCTCCAACCCTACGACCCTGACACCAGAAGCGCTCTGGACCGCGTCTATCGACGCTGCCCGCTTTCTCGGCCTCAGGCTTACAGAGTCGGAGGATGAAGACGACGATACATGACAGAACCTGGGGGGTTGAGCACTGTTGCTACAACAACAACAACAACCGCTTCAAGGCACCAAAATTGTGTATTTTGTAGTTGCAAAAATCGTGTATTATGTATTACATACCTGCAAAGAAAAACGAAAATATTTGTATAAGATAAAAGTGAAAACATTAAAGTGCAATTTCATTAATTACCTCTAATATCCCGCTGCTTTCAAATAATTTACACATATAGACAGCAAAACAGATGCATGTAAGTATCTTAGAGCAGCTGAATTCCGAATGCAATGGACTTTGATGGTGGGGGAGAGTGCAAGAGCAGCAATGCATCAGCGAATTCAGTGCAGCAGCCTGCAAATTTTGTTATTGTTTAACGCGTTTGTAGCCACCATACACTCACAGGCAGGCACACAGCTTTGCAAACTCAAAGATACACATCTGCGAATGCCAATTTGTGATTTTTTTTTTGTTTCAATACAATTCCATCTTCACTTCCCTATCCAAGGCAGCAACAATAACCGACAAATCGATCGCAGACGCAGCAGAATTGGTAGCGCTGGAAGCAGCACAGCTAACGCAAGAATTTGGAATGCAAAGTTGACGCTCTGCTCTGCGCGTTTACCCTCTCACCAAGGATTATTTTTACAAATAAATAAATTATTGTAAGCTAAATGGCTACACTAATTTCACTTGATATTCACTGCGTACGCACACAAAGACAAAAATACACTTTTTTGGATTTTCTAGCGCAAAAATTTCACGATTTGTCAACAGCGCGAGTGGAGAAAATCATCTGAAGCGATCGGACGAGCACAAATTAGCAAGTAACCAAGTATGTGTATTACCACCGCGACTCCGTCACCGACAACCGACACATTGGACTATATGAATCTCTGTGGCTTTTCTATACAATTTTAATAAAGTGTGTTTTTCTTTTAGTTAAGTGGTATGTGCGGAATTTGAATGGAATGTAGGCAATAGCGACATCAAATGTGCGGCGGCCATCGGATGCAACAGCGTAAATGTCAGCGGTGATTTTGCTTTGTGCTACCAAGATTTAACAATTGTCAATGGCGCTTTTATTTTACTTCCGAGTTCCGAGTCCATGTCGGCTGGTGTGTGACTTTGCTAAATGATGTCAGTTTGGCAAGAATGTAGAAACTTGTTTTGGAATTTCTTAAAATATCAAAATTTTCGAAAGTTTTTAGAAAATAGACCACTTTGTGGCACTTTGTGGATGTTGGATAGGAGCTCAAAAATACTTTACTCAATATGGCTTGCTGTATTCTTGAAAATTCATTTCATGATTGAAAAAATTGAATTTAACCTTACTTAACAACACTGCAGCTCGTTCATGCAACCCTGGCTACTAAAGGAAGAAAAAAATCGATATTTTCCGATAATTTTCCACAAAGAGATTTTGGGGCGTGTTGCTGAGGTAGCAGACCTTGACCAGATATAAATCTGAGTTGTTCCGGTTACGTACATATGTGTGTAGACCCGACGGGAACGTACTTATTCATAAACGAACGATACAAGATCACGCAAGATCAAGTGAGTGAAAAAAGGTAGATTTTTTGAGCGAGTTCTACGCCAGCTTGCTTCGCTGGAAAACGAGCGAAAAGTAAACAAAACAATGAAACAACAAACGAAAACCAAAATTAATGTCAGCTACTTTAAGCACACAATTTAAGTAAAATGATTCATTAAAACGCTTTAAAATGTGTCGTCATGTTGAATTAACTCTTCTTTACTTAAGTAAAAGTGTAAAATAGTAGTGCTTGTGATGTAAGCAAATGCTCATCTGATGAACCCGCTTTCCCAAACCTTTTTCTCAAAACCAATTACAAATACAACGTCGCGTTTTTGCGTGATCTTGTATTTTTGGTTCATGGTGCTTATTGGTGTTACTTTACAGCCGATAGAATGGATAGTTTGAAAACGTCGATAGTATTTTTTGAGAACGCAAACAATTGATATATCGATAGTATCGTCGATATTTTTCCACTGCAACTGGCCACCAATCAGAAATTCTTGTGCACAGAGTCGCTCTGCCAATTCACGGGATTTTAAAAGCAGCAGCAGCGCCGTTGGTGGAAGTGGCAGCAATTTGTCCAGCCGTAAATAACCAGAACCACTATTTACTGTATAAAATCCGCAGAAAATTTGGAATTTGGTTAGAAAATGTGCAACATAAATTTTATTTAATACCTTTATACAAAAGAACTGCTAGTGAAGTGTCCAAAAGTATTTTACACCTTGCATCGCCAGATGCGAAATTCCAGTGCACCGGGCAGAAAAATCAATTTTGAGGCCAAGCGCTAGTAGCTGAAGTAGTCGCAGTGACAGCGGCAACTTGCTGTGTTTATGTGCCCAGTTTTTAGACGTATCGGCGGGGTGGAACCAGCAGCAGTAACACCAGAAAAGTAAATGAATACATCAGCACCCACGCAGAAAATCACTTGCCTGGAATTATTAATTGACTAGTGTAGCAGCAGTAGCAGTAAGCGGCCGCAATCACCTACAACTTGTGTGTGAAGGAATAGCTAAGTAAAGGTAGGTGTTGGGTGCGTCGAGTGCGTAAATCAGTTGCAGTGTCAAATCAGTTGGAAAAATCCAAAAAAGAGTCGTGGGGTAAAACAGGTGCACGACACGCGCGCACGCACCCACCATACAATATATTTATAAATACTGGGTGTAGTTGTTGTTCACCGTTTGCAAAGCAGGTGTCGATGCTAGTGTTGCAGGTGTTAGCCGTCGGAAAAGTGCTCTGGGAAAGTGTGTGAAATTAGAAGAAAAATAAGGCAGGTTGCTATTGGGCTGCATTCGCCAACTGAGACGAGTTAGCTGCAGGCAAGCAAATCGCCAGCCAGCCAGCCAGCCAGGCAACGCAGTCTAAGCGCCACATTTATCAAGTTCGGTGTATTTGTTCGTGGCGCTGTGCCAAAACCGTCTTTCAAGGTCGTCGGCATTGGAGTGGGCAATAACCACAACGTAGTCGTCGTCAGCGTCGTTAAAGGCAGTGCCAGTGTCGAGTCACTCTCAAAATACAAAGTTATTTGGACGGGAAATAAAGGCCGGAAACGTTTCAACTTTTGTGGTGACGGTTAGATAATAAATTCATAAAAAATGGCTATAAGCTTTGAGAAACATCGCGCACAAATCGTAGCCGCTTGGAAAGATGTACTGGACGATAAGAGCAGCACAAATTGGTAAGTTTGTGGGTAAAATAATTTTTGTTACTTAATTTTTTCTGCCAAATTTTTTTGTTTTGATATTTGTATTAACTATGTATGTACGTATACTGCTTATGTGCTCAAAAAAGTTAGTTGCGGAGATATTTCCGTTAACCATTCACTTCTTTTGTATTTACAAGCAACTTTCTTTTGGCTTTTGTTAAATGTTATAAAAACATCTATGTATATATTTACATACTTGATTAGTGGCAGAGATTTCGAAGCATTTAAACCACATTTGTACATATCTGTGTTGTTGTTATTGTAGCAGCATACAAGTTCCCCAAAGTCCTTGGCCAAATATAAATCTGGGTCGTTCCGGTTACGTAGACCCGACTGTCGTGCGAACGCACATATCTATGTTCGTATGGAAAAGTAGCTTATGTCGAGAAGCTGGCTTTATTATACCGCGGCATTCCCTTTATCCTTTAAACGACAAGGAATTTTTTGATAAGACTTAACAAGTATGTATATGGACTTGCTAGTATCGGAACTATTCCATGCACGTTTATTTGCCAAAAGTTCTTCAACGGCATAGGGCCAGTGAGTCATTCGCAATCGTATGCTGCGAATGCCGCATTATACTAAAGCCAGCCTTTCGACATAATCTACTATTGCATATGAACACAGATATGTACATATGTACTTAATTGCATTCTCATGAGTCAACTACCAGAAATATGCATATATGCACATACACACATATGTATGTATGTAGGTATACATTTGTGTGCTAACATATCGCAAAACGTCTTCAAAAGAGTCACAACTCAAAATAATACGTTCGTCAGAAAAGGCGAAAAACTATTTTATAGCACATGCTAATCATATGGGCAAGGGTGACTATATCTTAGGTTTTTTTTTAACAAATTGTAACAAAAATTTGCTCCAGCTTTTGCTGAAAGGTAAATAAAAGTTATGTGTACATTTTTAGCGCATAATTTCAAAAATGCCAAATTTTGAGTTGTGACTTTTGAAGACGTTGTGCGATATCCAAGAGTAACCGGTAAAGGTGTCAAAAGTAATAAAAAATAAGTTTTATTTTGAATCACAGATTGCAGCTATTAAATGCTATAAAACTAAAGATGTGTGGACATTTATAAGTATGTATTTGTGTATGTATGTAAGTGCATTGTGCTTATTAGCTCAGACGCATCTTTACAAACGTTTGCACTTTGTGGTATAATATACAGCCATTTGGTAGAAGTATTTTATTAAGTACATACTTTGTATAGATGTTAAATATGGAGTGAAGGTATGATGTAATACAAATTCTTTAAAGGTTGGTCGACTTTAAAGATTTTGTTCAGATTAAAGAAAATGTTGCCAAATTTCCTCACTCGAAACTGCATAATAGACCTTTTTCTTAGGTTTTCAGACCTTCATATACATTACTCGGATTATTGAGGTAGCCAATATCTTGTAGAAAAGGCTTAAACCAAAACCTGTTTATTCTGGAGCGCTAGTCTAAATAACTATTGCATTATGATTTCATTCTAAATAACGTTACTAGTAGGATTTCGAATGAGTTTACATATATATATATATATACATATGTATGTATGCATGTCTAACTGCATGGAGAATCTCATTTCACATGTGTGAAAAAATCTCGCACTGCGACTAACTTTCTGGCATGCCAGCATTGCAATAAAACGAAAATTGTGACTTGTGACAATGTCTACGACTACTAAATGACCCCCAAGTGGCAATAGCAGTAAACTCGCTAACGAATGGAGTTATGGTATACTTCTCTTTACAGCCGGCATAGAAGTGGAGCGTTGATGTATATTTTATACGAACATAGTTATGTACATACATACAGCATGCATATGCAATACCCTCTTTCCTATGCAAGTATGTATACTATATGTGCACTTGTATGTATGTACGTATATACATACATATGTTCAGTTGTATGTCATGTGAAAGTCAGTTGAGTTTTAATTAACTCTCCTAACAGTTGAGTTGTGAATTTGAAAATTTGTTGTGCATTTTTTCACAACTGCTGCTTCAATGTTCTCATGTCCTCCTTTTTCATTCATTACCACAATATTCGTTTTTTTTATTGCCTTTTTGCAATGCTCCAAGCATACGAACATGCAAAGCCGGCAAGTGTGTGAATTGTAACCGAGCTGCTTCTGCACAAAATTTAATTATGCCACAATTAATGTCATCTTCGTTGCTAGTCAATGCCTTTTGTGCCCTTTCGAGTGCTGATTGTTGTAATTGAGTATTTTGCTTTCTCGTTTAAAATAAAATTGCTTACTTTTACATATTCCCTTCCACTGTACTATGCACTATATTCTTTGTTATTACACAGGTCACTTTATGGCTACGAAGGTCAAACGAATGAACTAAAGGTTGTGGGCAGTGGTGAGGGTGGAGTGGAAGAACTCTGCGAGGATTTAAATAGCGGCAAAATTATGTATGCTTTTGTGCGCATCGAAGATCCAAAGACGGGCTTGAAAAAGTTTCTACTCATCAACTGGCAGGTTAGTGAGCAATGGAGGAGTTTTTATGAAAATTTTTAGATAACAATTTTTTTAAAATTAAAATACATATGTAAATACATAATGCAACACTGGAACTGGATTAGCTAAATTGTATAATGAATTGCTAAAAATTAAAATATTAAAAAAATATATAAATTTAAGAAAACCATAAAATATGAATTCAAATTAAGAAATAAAATTGGATAAAATTTTTTTTTTAATATCTTATTTCAATTTTAAATTAAAAAGAGGATGCAAAAATGAAAAACGAAAAAAAAATTAAAATAAAGAAATAAAAAATAGAAGATGCAAAATAAAGTAAAAATTAAATAGCGCAAGAAAGAAACAAAATTAAATAAGCAAAATAAAAATAAACTAAAAATTAAAATAAAATTCTAAATAAAAAAAATTTAAATATAAAAGTTTAAAAGAAATCAAAAAACTAATAATGAAGTTTTACTATGCTCATTCCTTTTTTTGTATTTACCTATGTATGTATATGGGCGAATCCGAGAAATAGTCAACCAAAATCGCAAAAAATGGATGCAATTCGAATTCTCTCATTTTTGTGTCAAAAAGGCATAAGTACAATATACTCGAATTTCATATTTCTTTTCACATTTATTTGCGAAATCTGATTTTCTCCTCTTACTTCTTGAAACAAAGCTCTAGCATAGCATTGGTTTAATCACTATATATTTTAATAAAATACAACAGTATCGCTTAAAAAAAAATCAATTTTTTCAACGGAAAAAAGAGTAACGTCCGTAACGTACCTTCCCTAACGCACATATACAATTGTTTTAAAGTTAATCCAACCTCTAGTTTGAATAGTTTGAATAAAAAGTTGCAAATTAGTGTGCAAATTTAATGATTTTTCCTGAGTTTTGCACAAAGTTTAGAGATTTTATTATTATGTTTTCTGGTGTAGAATGAACAATATTTTTATAAAAAATTATCAAAAATAAATTAGAATAAAGAACTTTGCATATATTGCGAAAAATTCACTGTGTTAATACTTCTGTTCGGCACTGTATGTACATTAGACATTGTACGTTCACAGTTTATTGGGAATATGCCTCTTCTGACGATTTTCTGTCTTATCAAAAATACACGTATTTATTTATTTATTACAGTCATTTTGTAAACACCAATGACGCCGGCCGCGATAATAAATATCTTTACCAATATTTGATGTTTGCCTTTTTCATATCTTATATTGGCACTTGAGCTTATATTAAAAATATACATTTTAATCTTGTTTCTCCTTTTTAAATTTTTTATCGCCCTTTCCTGCTGCAGGGTGAAGGCGCGCCGGTGTTGCGCAAGGGAACTTGTGCCAATCACATACATGATGTCGCCAAGCTACTTTCCGGCGCCCATTTGACAATAAATGCACGCAATGAAGATGATATCGATTTGGAGCGACTGGTCAAGAAGTTGAGCGCCGTGAGCTCAACGTATAGCTTCAAAGAGCCACGCGGCCTGCCGGATGAGCAGAAGACACCTGTGGGCACAAATTATACTCGCGTCATACCTACGAAGGAGCTGAATCCGAGTGTAATGCAAGATTTTTGGAAGAAGGAAGAGGAAGAGGAGAAGCGACGCATTGCGGCCGAGAAGGAAACAAAGCGACAGCAGTTGCTCAAACTCGAGCAAGAGCAGCGTACACGTGAAGAGAAAGAGCATTTGGAGCGTGAGAAGAAAGTTATTAGCACGTCGAAGCTACAGCCGGCGCATGTGCCGATCAAAACGTAAGTGAAACCATAAAGTAATAGAAAGTAATTTATAAAATAATACTCCAATGTACTCCAATTTTTACGCACATTTCGCTTCTCCAGCTCTCCGCAGCCCCTAAGTCCGGAGAAAACTGTTGCCAGCAGCTTCACTGCCGGCATGACTGAAGCCGAGCGCATGCGCCAGCAGCGCAATCAGGAGGCGCGGGAACTGATTGGTTCCCGTGTCATTGCCGCCAAAGCAATTTTCACTCAAAACACAAGTCAAGGCCAGTTGCAAACAAAGTAAGTTTCCCAGTTCTTTCATTTTTCTTTAATCATTGAAAATGTTTCCTTTTTCGCAGATTGAACACAGCACCACCTGCCAAACCTGCGCGCACATCCATAGCGCAACGCATCAACGCCTTTAATCAGCCACAATCCGCTGAACCGGAACCACGCAAACCCTCACCTACTCCCGGTAAAGTCGCTCTTTCGAAATTCGAGGATATTGCCGCCACCAATAACGGCATTCAACAGCACCAACAAACTGTGCATACCACACAACGTGCGCCCTCGCCAGCCACAGTCACTGTGCCCACTCCCATACTTGCCCACCATCACCAATCCCAAACACAGGTGGTCGAACCAGTTGTAGGAGTAGCAGCAATAGCGGCGGCTGTAATGGCGCCCGCGACTGTCGCGACAAATGCACTAAATGAAGAGGAGGTGGAGGTGGAGCAACCTGTCAAACCGGAAATTACCGCCATTGCCAATAACGATGACGTACCGTCGGTCGCAGATGACTATGCTGCCGAAAACGACGAACAATATTCCACTATAAAACGTTCACCACATAGTAAATCAAATTCATTACAATCACCAGAGACTTCATCCTCCAATGCGACCGATACGGCGCTCTATCAGGATCAAGATGATGAGGGCGAGGAGCTGGAAGAGGAGGAAGTGGTGCGCACAAAAGTGTCGGTTACGGTGCAACAACCACAATCGGCTAAAAATGGACTAAGCAGCGCGTTGGATAGAAATGATTGTAAGCTTGTGGCTTTAGGTGATTGCTTCGAGGGGAATTTCATGAATTTCTTTCTTGTGCTTACAGTGACTGATTTGGTTAACGAGGATGACTTCATCTGTCAGGAGTCACTGGGCGACGTTGGACTGAAAGCAAGAGCTTTATACGATTATCAAGCAGGTGTGTATGGTTATTTACTATGTTAGCATTTCATGCCATAAATAGTCAGATAACACTGGATCACAAATTTTAGTTTTCCAGACGCTACAATTCAATTACAATGTAGAAATGCTCGTTGATTCCGAAAATCCACAGCCTCATTGCGTAAGTCGTAAATTAGGCTAAATTGTACGACTCGACAACATTGGCATTGTCTACTGTCGTGCTGAAATAAGTAAGCGACGAAAATCGTCGAAAACTATACAGTACTGCCAAGTTTTTCCGTTTTAATACACTAGTCGAGTGGAAATTTTAGGCAATGACGTGAGATTTTCTATACGATTCCACTATCGAAAAACGACTGGCATTCGACACGACTCTCGCAATGAGGGTGCCAGTTCATTTGTTTTTCTATGGATACGTTTTCGAGATATTTGCAATTTACCGTTATTCAGCTTAAAATAGAGTGGTTCTAAGTAAACACCCACCAATTAAACAATCGTAATTCGAAAGCCAATGAAATCCATAAACCGTATATACATAACTTTTCGATAGGCCTGAAGTTTCTGAGAAATTAAATAATAACTGCAGATCTTTATTTTTTTGATGAAAAAATTAAAAAAATTCAAATTTTAAGATGGGGGAAATAAAAAAAAAACGGCCGGTTTTGTTTTTCTTTTTTGTTAATTAATTTCTGAGAAACTATTTGGCCTATCGAAAAGTGATGTATATACAGATTATGGAGAATTTATTTGTCTTTCATTTGCCGTATTTCGTATTACAATTGTTCAATTATTTCGTAAGATAAACGTGATTAAGTGCAACCACCCTTTTTTTAAGCTGAATAACGGTAAATTGCAAATATCTCGAAAACGTATCCATAGCAAAAAAAAAATTACTCGAGTTTCTGAATCACCGAGGAATTCTACATAGGAATTGGATAGTAGCATCCATTGAACAGTTTTGCTGTAAACCAGTGAAATTGAAGGTTTAAAACAATTTTGATCCGGAGGGAGAATATTTTGAAACTGTTCTGGCCTTATGTACGATAATGATAAAGCCTGCCGATAACTTCGAAAAGTAACATATTGATAATGCTGTCGTTAAATGATAAAAATTTAAGGCATAGATAAATACATAAGTTTGATACATATTCATGAGAACATCGATAACAACTTCCATGAAAATATCAATAAATGCATTATAATCATATCGGTAATATTTCGATAAAGAAATTAAAAAATGAATTGAAAATACAGTATGGGTAAAAGAATCTGTAACGATATCGCCAAACTTTTTATTTTATTTTTATTTTTTTATAATAAATGTATCGATAGTCTTACCGTTTAAGTCGGCGAGGAGAATTTCGATATCAATATCGATTAATATATGAATATCTTTCCTTTCTTTAAATATTCCTTCATTAAATACATAATAATCGATAAATTTTCAATATTAAAATAAATTTGCGAAAATTATCCTTAATTTTTCTATTCACAGCCGACGAATCAGAGATTACTTTCGATCCGGGCGACATCATAACGCATATCGATCAAATCGATGAAGGCTGGTGGCAAGGGCTCGGACCCGATGGAACTTATGGACTGTTTCCGGCAAATTATGTCGAAATTATTAACTAAACGAAAATAAGGGAATTAATTATACACAAGCAACAACCATTATTGCAACAAAAATGTAAGCGAAAAAAAAACAAACAAAGACACAAAATAGATGATTCAGCAATTTTACAGTTTTACTTATACTTTTACAAATGAGAATAATTGCAACAAAGGAAAAAATTTATAGTAGTATACACCCAGCAAATGAACAAAATAATTGAAATTCATTAACTATAGTCACCATTTCCGCTCTTAAAAATAAAACACACATCAAATTCATTAGAATTCGAAATTCAGGCACAGCACAATTTAATTTTTTTTTTTATAAAATGAAATCTTTGAGAGAGAAAGAGAGCAAGAGGAGGGTTTAGAAACTCCTAATACTACTGAAGCAATTGAAATCTTATGCATTTTTATAGCAACATACTTACATTTTTACTCGACTTTTGACTGCAACCACAAACTAAGAAAATCACAAAACTTGAAGTAAAAAATTCAGCAAAAAAATTAGATCGAAATTTTCAAAACGTAAAATTTTATACGCACTCCCACACACACATGAAATTTTTGATGCATTTTTAAACAATTTTTCTATACTCATGATTAAAAAAAATTTAATCACGCCTAAAAATGCATGAAATTCATACAAGCCGAGTACATATTTAAAACGCATAAAATATTTAAAAAGCAGAAACAATGGAAAAATACTTTTTAGTGCCAAGCTGCGTAAACACCACATAAGTACTACATTCAGAATAACCGATTGCGTTCAGTAAACGAGATTATATTTATAAAAAAAAAAAAAAATTATATAAAATAAATAGTCTATGTTATTTATTAAAAAAGTAAATTGTAAATTTGTTGCCTAAATGTTATCAGTCAGAAATCGTTTATCGTTGTGTGATATGCCAGTCAAAACAAAATTATTTTAGTGTTGGCGAGTTCTTTTGTAATGAAATGCATTTTCAATTTTAATTTGCTTTAGAAGATTATAGAAAGAAAAGACCAAGGCGTGCTTGCTTTTTGAAATTGCACAGTTTTAACTGAAAATAGTTTTTGGAAACAAAAAAGTTTGAAATAGTTTTCTATAAAGCAAAAAAGTGGAAGTTTACAATTACAATCTATCTATCTATACACAAATTTCCTTTATATAAACTAAAACTTTGAAAACTCAAGTTTTCTTTTTCATTAAAAATATGTATAAAATAAAACGTATAAATTTTCAATTTTTTGAAGTAAACCCCCCTTTGAATTACGAAGTTTTTTGCAGACAAAAATAAAGTTTGGGTAGCTTAAAATTTAAAATAATATCCATTTAAATTATTCATTAGGTAAAATCAGAGATCGTAAAGGCTATGATCTTTGTAATAAAAATAATTCAATGGTCCCCTCCAATAACGACACAAAATAACGATTAAATTGTACTGAAAGAAATGTAACGCTTTTTCTTGTCCTACATTCAAAGATGTCGTTAACTCCTCTCCATATGACTTTCAAGCGAGCGTAATTGGTCTAATAGTTTTTCATTTGAAACCATAAAAAAATATCTTTTTGGTTTCTCTCTTTTTTCAACAAAATTTTTGTTATAAAAACCACATGCCAGTTATTAGCACTCACACAAACATATCTTTCTTAACAAAATTTAATTTGAACGTAAAACAACAATGCGTCCTTATTGCGTCCTTGTAAGCTAAATGTCATAAAAATCAAAGCATTTTTTCATAAAAAAAAAACATACATATACGTAAGTATGTATATTTATATTTAGAATTTATTCCGGTGACGTCGTATATTTTTAGTATATTTATTAAGCACTAACAAATTTTTTTATTTGCAATACAACTACTGCGCATCACAATGCTCCTTTTAACCTTGAGAAGGCATTGCACTTTTCATAATTTGTCCATTTTATATATACCAACATACATACATTAAAAGTATTACTTACCCAAAAAAAACTTATTTCAATACTTAATTTTTCATATGATAAAATCCATATTTTGTAAATTTTTTATGATGATCATTAGAGAAAAGGTGAATGTTTATTTTTAGCCAGCAAATTTAATGAAGCATTACATATATATATTTGTACTTTTATTCGAAAATCTTTTTGTATTCAGAAAATGTTTTCCATAATTTTTAGTATTAAAAAAAGTATATAAGAAAAAAATAATAATTATGTACTACCATTACTAACAATATTTATTGTGAAACAATAATAAGAATTCAATAAAATTTAAAACAAAAGTATACATGCATGTTTCGAAAATACGTACAAAGTGTAGTATTTTATTAGTGAGTTTTCGAAGGGTTGCAAGTTTTCGAGTGTGGAGCACAGCGCTCTGTCGAATTCCTCATTAGCCTTAAAGAAGAAGGTGCCTCTGGTCGAATGGTTAATGTCATCGAGTAGACTAAGGTTGGCATCACTACTCTGGTTGGATATGGACTTAGTCGCCTAGCTCTGCCTCTAAGCCTTCATGATGAAACCTTCAATAACGGACTGAGGCTGATTGAATTCGTCGGATCCAGAGGCCAGATGGTCTGCAGCACTAGGTGCCAGGATAAAAAGGATACATCAGATTACACAGTCGTTGACTTAAGCTAAAAATCGAAGAGCCATCAACACGCAGACTGGTCTAAAATGACCCTGCACAGAGGATTGAGACTAGGATAGAATAAGATGAGCTATATCTGCCCCAGCGCATTTCAAACAAATGACATCAAATCAAAGTCATACAGACCCATTAGTCTTTCGTCGTTTCTACTAAAAACAATAGAGAGAATCGTAGACAGGCATATCAGCGATAGTTTCCTTACCGGGAACCCTTTGCATAGATACCAATATGCCTACCTTGCAGCAAGAAAATTGAGAAGTCTTTGGAGGACAAAAAGGTGGCGCTGGGATGCTTCTTCGATAATACGGAACATTCTCTAATAGACAATGGCGTTCGGCGCAGAGTGGTTGATGACACCACATGCCGCTGGATAGCAAACGTTCTTAAATGCAAAACCATTACATCCACTTTACGGCAGGAAAGAGTCAGATTCTTAGCTACGAAAAGTTGCTCGCAGGGGGAGTGACCTCTGCTACGGTCCATCGAAGCAGAAAAACTACTCTGCATTAGTGAAAATGGATTCGACGTTGAGGGCTATGCGGATGACATGGTCCTCCTGATCAAAAGTAGGTTCGAAGACACTATCTCCGAACTCCTACAGAATGCTCTGAACATAGTCGTTTAGTGGGGCAGTAAAAATGAGTTAAACATGGACTCCAAGCAGAATAATTTTCATAGTAATTTTCTCAAGGAAAAGGAAAAGGGACAAATGACTATAACCACTCCTTCAAGGAGAATAGATACACTTCTCCAAAGTGGTCAAATAACATAGAGTTATCCGTGATGACAGGCTCTCATGGAATCCGCATCTAGACAAAACTATTCAAGAGTTCAGAGAGAGGTCGCTATCTGGACCTTCCGGAAACTAAACATGCGTCTGGTGGGAGAAGGCCAAGCTCAGTATGCTACAACGACTGGTAGGCGTGGACATCACTGTCGCGATGAGAACAACACCAATCGCGGCTTTTGAGGTGCCTCTTGACCTGCCTCCTCTACACATTGTTATCAAGAAAGAGGATCTACTGTTTACAGAAAGGCTCATCCCAGGGGGCAATGTAGAAAACAAAAAGCTTATACACTCTTTCACCCTCAGGATTGTAGAACAAGAAGTTGGGCTGCTTAATTGCTTTGTGGACATGTGCCTTCCGATATTTAACTACACTCAAAACTTCAAGGTCCTCGATATATGGTCCTGAACTGGACTACCTGAACTAGTACCGAAATGATCCAGTAAAAGTTCCAATCTAGACCCGAATTAGTCCCGAACTATTTCAACGAAGGGTGTTACTAGAAAGCTGATTAGGGGTGCGTTCAGAAATGCATCATGCCAAAGCATCAGAGTCTTTTATTTCTAAGCTATAATTGATGGAAATGTTTTATTTGAGCAACTGAGTTCCAATTCGGCTTTTAACCGGGGTTGCGCATATTTGACATTTCCATCAATTATAGTTTAGAAATAAAAGAGACTGATGCTTTGGCTTGATGCATTTCTGAACGCGCCCTAGATTTGTTTTCAAAGATCACAATTTTGAAAAAATGTCGCTGCTTATAATGACCTCCTAAACTTTATGGTAGGACTACAATGGCGCGTAGTGTTATTGACTTCAAAAAATTTCGCCGGGTCAATCACCTTTAAGCACATCAAAGCGCTTCCAATTACTTTCTACATTCACAGGCGGCCTTGCGTGCAAATTTTACATCACTTTCTTTTATTAAATAATAAATACAGAAATGTCAAGGACATCAATTTGCATTATTAGCAAAAAAAGGAGGCGGACGTCGGAGCGCATTCACCGGCGAACATTTGCCGGCGAAAATATTTTACGATTTGTTTACAAACAATCTATTTGCAGAAGTTCGGCTTTTTCGGTCTCGGCACAAACCGACCAACGGCTGTAGACCCAAAATAAGAAGAAGAAGAAGCAATGCTTTCGGCGCGGTAAACAAACTTTCGCGTCTGATTTAACGGTGTGCTTGAAGGCGCACCACTTCACTATGCCCTCTTCGTCGTTGTTTACCATTCCACTGCTGACACTACGACTCTTTTCAAGTTTTCATTATTGCCAAGGCAAACACTTTTTCGCGCCAGTTTTGCGCTAATTGTAAAGGAAAGTGAAGCGTTGAAAGCGAATTTCAAACAATTTAGTCCTTTTGAAAAGTAATTTGCCTAGCAACCAGCCGATGGTCGATTTGCTGTTAAATCAATGAGATTTTTTCAGCTATATCGAGCAGAAGTTATGGAAAGTTTGTGTCGAAATTATTTTATTTTTCGAGACAAAAAGAACTAAACTTAATAAGTACTTAAAATGGTGTTAATAGAAACGTTATACAACGCAGGAAATTTAAGACATCCCATCTAAATTGGACGCCACTTAGCTGGAACTACAAACATACAAATTCAACGAATTCAATTCTAACGCAGCTTATATATACATATGCCATTTTTAGACCACTAACGTCCTAAAGTGTGTGGTAGCTTTCCTTCCTTTGCACTCCAACTTGATGTCCATTGTGAACTTGTTCCACCAACGTCGCTGCCATGGGGAATACGGAGAGCAATGTAACGAGTGGCGTCAAGAAACAAGCTGGCGTCTCCACTCAAGCACTCTACAAATTTGTGAATCTCAAGGGTGGCGGTCTGTTGGTCGATATGATGAAACGCGCTTGTCAGACTAAGCAGTTCGCAGAAATCGATCATGCGATTAAGACGAAAGTCGAGCCATTTCTCTACAATAAGGGTGCCGGTCGCTATTTTCCCATCTCGAAGTTGGTGCTCTTGCGTAATAAAGAACGTGCGCGCACCAAACAGCTACCCGAAATCAGAGCGATGGAGAATCCCGATGAAGACTTCAATATACATGATCATTGCACTGAGGTGTCAGAGGCTGAATATATATCGAATCCGAGTGCATATCGGTTTGTGTGCTGGAATTTGAATGTGAGTTGCTCTGACGCTTTTCCTACTTTTAGTTTTCAGCTGATTAGAGGTTCCTAATTTTTGCAGGAACGCGGCGCTGTCGGTGAAACTGTCTTGCATCTCTGTCTGCTGAACGCCTCCTCGCTGCATGCCGATCTCGCCAAGCGCCTGCTCAAATGGTATCCCAAACTCATACTTGATGTGTATATGTGCGACGAATACTATGGCGAGAGCGTTTTGCACATCGCAATCGTCAACGAGGATCCAGCGATGGTGAAATATCTGCTCGATGCTGGCGCTGATGTGCAAGAGCGGTAAGTGGTTAAACTTTGAACTTTACTCTTTTCACTCGGCTCAAAATATCTACTCTCCACCGCTAAACATAGCTGCTGCGGCGCCTTTATGTCCGCGGAGGATCAGAAAGCCTCACGTTACGATTCACCTGATCACGAGTATGTCGGCGTGCAGCCGATAACCAACTATGATGGCTACGTCTATTGGGGCGAATACCCGATGAGCTTTGCCGCTTGTCTGTCGCAAGAGGACTGCTTTCGCTTGGTGCTGGCACGCGGCGCGGATCCAGATCTGCAGGATACCAATGGAAATACTTCACTGCATATGTTGGTGATCTATGAGAAGATCGAAATGTTCGATGTCTCCTACGAAGTGGGTACCAATATTCATCTAAGAAATATGCAAAATCTCACAGCGTTGACATTGGCGGCGAAATTGGGACGCGTTGAGATGTTCTTTCACATTTTGAGCATAGAACGTGAGATCTACTGGCAGTTGGGTAGCATCACTTGCGCGGCGTATCCGCTGTCCATGATCGATACGATCGATGTGGAGACGGGGAATATAAACAAGGATTCAGTGTTGAATTTTGTGGTGTTTGGCGTGAGTGAGCTCGTAGCGTTGTCCATTAGAGTATTAGCTTGCTGATTTTTTTTTTACGCTTGCAGGACAAACTGGAACACTTGGAGCTGCTGGATGGCGTGGTGA